CAGGCGCAGTAGTCGCGGCGCTGCAGGGCCAGGCGACCGCCGCAGATATCCGAGTAGCTCCGCTCGTCCTCCATGACCCGCTCGCTCGCCAGCCCGCGCCGTCGCCCCGGCTCCAGGCCGCTTCCGGCAGCGGGGTCAGTCCCGCCTCTCCGCGCAGCCGCAGTAGCGCGCCGAGAGCCTGGCAGGTGTCTTGGGTTAAGTTCAAGTCCCAATGCTGCTCAGGTTCTCTGATGATCCTCTTCCAGAGACCCGTAGAGGGTCCGACAATTCAGAGGACAGATTAAAGCCGCTGTTAACGTGCTTCGTCTCGACATACTGATTTCTGTTTCTAAGCCAGTGAGCCTCAAGTAGACAGTGCACAGGTACTCATTCTTTCATCTCTCTGCTTAGTAGTTGTAGGTGCTGAGGATGCAGCAGTGAAAAATAAGGACAAGGTCTCTGCCTTCGAGTAGCTTCCTTCCTAGCAAGAGAAATGCTGTGGAAGTGACTTCAGAGACTGCGTTTGGCAATAATGTACGGAACCGGCAGGGAAGGATTGGCAGTCAGGATAGGTATATCTGAGTAAGAGACCCTGGACTTAACGACGATCCCAAGCTAGACAGGTCTGGGGGAGCCATGGAAGGGGAATTTGCTGGAAAACAGGACCAAGAAAGACAAATACCTTGGACCTAAGCAAGGTTGGCTTATTGGAGGGATCGAAAAGCAAGAGAGGCTGGCTAGTAAGGAAAACAGTTGGAAGTTGGGGAAGTAGGGTGAAGATCAGATCCAGGAGGCTGCTGTGGGGCCTGGTAAGAAGTTTCGATTTCACTGCTTGCGAGTTCTCTCTCCCAGACCACTGCTTAGAGCATGAAGTCAGCAAACAAGTCCTGGCTGGGAGGTAAGCAGGGGTGGGAGGTGCAGAAGTTACAGACCATACAATTTCAAAGCTCCTGGGTAATAGTGGCCTGTGGACACCCTTTTTACTTCAGGTGTGGCCCATGAGTGGCTGTGGGGCTTGTTAAAACAGTTGTGGTTCCTCAGCCCTGAGTCAGGATCATGTATTAAAGAGTTGATCTCAGTCCATCCTGGGTGGCTGGGCCTGTGTGTAGTCATCTGCTGTACTGGAGGCCAACTGAGCACTCGGATCTCTGGTCAGGTCTACCTGGACCGCGCCTGGCTTATGTACCTGGGATCCTGACTGGCTAGAGGGCTGGGGAGAGGGTATAAAGGCCAGATGGGAACCTGCTGAGGGTGCTTCTTCTTTCTCTTGTAATTGCATGCACTGTCATGAATAAAATAAACTTTAAAAATATAAAGAGTTGACCCCATTTTGAATGAGGATAAGTGCCAAAGGTCCTGTGATATGATATAGGCAGAAGGGCTCTGCTGTGTGATATTGGAACCATATGGGAAGGCCAAGTTTGCAATCGTGTTCAACCTGAACACCAGGCAGGCCCATGATCCTGGCTGGCGGCAGGTCTGCAGAGGAGAATCTCAGATGACAAGACCCTAGCAGGGATCCCTGTCTTTATCTAAAAGGGAAAAAAAAAAAAAAAAAACAAGTGAATTCCATAAATATCTTACCACCTGTTGGCTCTTGGATGACAGTCAGGTTCAATATCTTCATCTTCATGCAGGATAAGTATTTTTTTTTTTTTTGAGATAGATTCTTGCTATAGGGCATGTGCACTCACCAGAGAGAGACAAAAAGCAAGAAATCACCCCCTGGGAGGATGGCAGTGCCACAACTCCTTCTCCTCCATTCTCCTCTCAGGATTTTGGGCACACACACACACGCACTCCCAGCATAAATTTCAAGCCGCTGGATTCAGGACTTGAACCACTGTCAGCCAGGTGGGAGTCCAGCGATGTAACCATTATGACATCTGCTGGTCCCCGCCTAAAGTATTTTCTTCAAGTATTACTCCCCCCACTTTTGTCTCTGCCCTGAATCTGACCAAGTAATATGCCTCTTTTATTTTTGTATATATAATATAGTTTGTGATTATGAACGTGGTATTTGCTTACTGTGGGAAATTTGAAAAATACAGAAAAAAAAAACCAAAAGAACTTTTAACCACCCATCTTTTCATCACTCACAGATAAGCACTGTTAATGTTTTGGAGGAAGCTCTAGTCCTAGAATTCTTAATCTGGGCTTCATGGATAGAACTAGGGCTTCATTTTCAGTTTTATAAGCTTCTTTTTTTTAAGTTTATTTTTTTCCATGCGTGAGATACACTTTCCCTTTCACTATCTCTGTCTCTTTCTGGTGAGCACACATGCCTTATGGCAAAAACCTAAAAAAATATGAATTGGGGCCGGCAGGTGGCGTGGTGGTTAAGGGTACTGGACTCCCATGTGGCTGACTGCAGTTCAAGTCCTGGACCTGGTGGCTTGCTTTCTCTTGCTTTCTCTCTCTTGCTCTCTGGTCAAATTTTAAAAATAAATAATTAAATAAAGTTAAATAAAATAAGTTATATATGTGTGTGTGTGTGTGTGTATATAATGACTTTACCCATTTTGGGGAAGGAGATATTCATTTATTTTAAAGACTCCCATGTTCCCATGTCACCTAAAACTTACATTAGATCAATCTGTATGCATTTCTCATGTTAATATGTTTTTCCTTATAAAGGTCTCAGCCATAAACCTAACAATGGGAAGGAAAGATATGTATTTCCCCATTGTATTAACTTACTGTAGTTTATTTACTATTATTCTGTTGTTTCGTAATCCAGTGAAAATGGCTAGTAGTTCTTTGTATATAATTTTCTTTTTTCAGAGAAGTTTTTGCTATAGGGCGTATACGCTCGCCAGAGACAGAAAGACAGAAAGTGAGAAATCACCGTCCCCCCCCCCCCGGGCGTTGCCCAGCCCACA